TGTTTGAAGCCGAACTTACAACCGTCGCCACTGCCCTCGCAACCTCTCGCAGTTGCCGCCGCTGCCGCCCTTCCAGTCGTCGTCGCCACCAATCTTCACAGTTTCTTTTTGTCTTTTATTTTTTTTTCCAGATCACCGTTTTCGTAGATTCATTTGGTATGGCAGAATCAAAACCATAGAATAATATCCCGACTTTTCTCGAAAGCAGCAACACTCAGGTAACATGCCACAAACTCACCGGCCACAATTATCTTTAGTGGTCTCAATCAGTGAAGATGTTCATGTATGATCGTGGATTGGAAGACCATATCATGGCTAAAGCAAAACCACCAAAATCTGATGATCCAAAATTTTACAAATGGAGGGCTGAAAACAATCAAGTAATGATCTGGTTAATAAACTCCATGACAATCAAAATTGGAGAAAACTTTCTCCTATTTTCTACTGCCAAAGAGACTTGAGAAGCTGTTCACGATACGTTCTCCAATAAGGAAAACGTTGCTGAAATTTTTAAGAGAGAGACTACTCTCCAAGATCTCAAACAATGTGATTTATCTGTTACAACCTACTACTCCACTTTATCTCGCTATTGGCAACAATTAGATCTATTTGAAACTATTGATTGGAAATGTTCTAATTATGGTACTCTCTTTCGAGAATTTGTGGAAACAAAGAGGATTTTCAAATTCCTAATGGGTCTCAATAAATCCCTTGATGAAGTTCGTGGTCGAATTTTGAAACTAAGTCGTTACCTAGCATTCGAGAAGTCTTTTTTGAAGTACGCAGGGAGGAAAGTCGAAAGCAAGTGATGTTGGGATCATCTGAACATCCTTTTACTCAAACTGGATCTACTCTCATTTCCCAACGAGATCACCCCAATGATCCAATCGCCCTTGTTGCTAGGGGAAACCTCCAATCCTATGGTGATAATCGGCAGCACAAAGGGCGACCATGGTGCGATCATTGTCATAAAGTGTGACATGTCAAAGAACCTTTTGGAAACTACATGGGAAACCAACAAACTGGAAGCCAAACATTACCAGATCAGATCGGGAAACTAAGGGGAACACGACTGTATCTGAAAATTTGAATCACCAACCACATGTTAAAGAGCTGTTAAACATGTTGCAACAACTTTGCACAAAATAAATCTATCAACAACAGTAGCTGGTTCTGGGAATGTACAGCAAGGTAACCAAAATTTCTTTGTTCTCCATACTCAAACTCTTCAATCTGAATGGATAGTAGACTCTAGAGCATCAGATCATATGACAGGTGATAGATCCTTATTCTCATCTTTTTCACTTTACACGGGTAACATTTCTATTCGAATTGCTAATGGTATACCTACTAAAGTGATTGGTATTGGAAGTATTCAGATATCAAGCTCTCTCATTCTTGAGTCAGTTTTATTTGTGCCAACATTGGAGTATAATCTACTATCTGTAAGTAAGTTGAATCGGGACTTGAACTGCGAAACTAAATTCCTTGCAAACTCTTGTATTTTTCTTTGGATCGAGGAAGATGATTGGCAATGCTGAACTATGTGTCAGATTGTATATTCTGACAGCAACTAGTCCTCCACCAACAAATGTATGCAATAAACTTGTAGTGCAGTCTAATCGTGTGTCAGCTTATATTTCTGAGTCTTTAAATCATAAAGATAGTTCTATCATGATGTTGCACTATCATTTTGGTCATCCAAATTATGCCTATCTCGAGCGTCTGTTTCCTTCTTTGTTTATCAATAAAAATAGTCAATTTTCAAGTGTGAGATTTGCCAACTCTCCAAAACACACATGTGTCCATTATTCATCTAATATTTATTCTCCATCTCAACCTTTCTCTCTTATGCATGGAGACATTTGGGGACCTTCAAGGGTAAAAAATATCGATGGGGCTTGTTGGTTTCTTCTGTTGGTCAATGATCACACGCGTTTGAGTTGGACATTCCTTATGAAAGACAAATCTGAAACTAGCCAATTATACACAACCATTCATATGCATGTGACCTTTTCAACTCTACCCTTGGAACATATCTCCAATCTCATGGCATTGTTCACCAAAGTTCTTATGTTGACATACCCCAACAAAATGGTGTCGTTGAATGAAAAAATCGCCATCTTCTCGACGTACCCGATCCCTAATGCTCACATCACACATCCCAAAAATCTTTTTGGGCTAAAGTTGTTCTCACTGCGACCTATCTCATAAATTGATTGCCATCCTGTATTCTCAAATTCAGCACACCCTTGGAAAGTTTACTTACGATCTATCCTACATCCCATCTGGTATCTCAACTACCATTAAAAATATTTGGGTGTAATGCGTAAGTTCATGTATATCCTCAGCATCGTAGTAAACTTGATGCGAGATCAACAAAATGTGTCTTCCTTGGATACTCATCGAATAAAAAAGGATACAAGTGTTATCATCCTCCATATAAAAAATTCTTTCATACCATGGATGTCACATTTTTTTAACATCAACCATATTATCCCAATTCTGTAATTCAGAGGGAGCATTATAATCTTGAATCACCAAATTGGGATTGCACTCTTAATTTTCCTGCAGTAACTTTAAATCTTTCATCTGAAAGTTCAATTGTATCATCTTCTGAGTCAATTCCCTTATCTACCCCTGACGTTGAATTGCAAGTTTATTCGCGAAGAGCGAGACAACCTGAGAGGACCGAGATTCAACCTACACAAGTTCAGCAAAGCCAAGATCTAAACCAAAATCCCAGTGTCCCTGAAATAGCACACGAGATGTCAGAAGATGATAGACTCATTGCTGTAAAGAAAGGTGTTCGATCATGTACTCAACATCCCATACAGTATCACTTATCTCGTCGCCATGTTTCAAAGCTTTTGTGACTTCACTAGATCAGATACAAACTCCCAACTCAGCTCAAGAAGCTCTACAGAGACCTAAATGGAAAGCTGCCATCCTAGAAGAGCTATAGGCTTTAGAGAAAAATGGAACTTGGATCCTTACAGACTTACCTCTAGGTAAACACACAATTTGTTGTAAATGGATTTTTCCAACCAAACACAAACCAGATGGTAGTATAGAGTGATTCAAAGCTCGTCTTGTGGCTAAAGGATTCACCCAAGCTTATGAGATTGACTATCAGGAAACGTTTGTTCTAGTTTCCAAGCTGAATACTATTCGAGTACTTCTTTCTATTGCATCAAATCTAGATTGGTCATTGTTTCAACTAGATGTAAAGAATGCATTTCTAAATGGTGATTTAGTAGAGGAAGTGTACATGGACATACCTCATGGATTGAGAATAGATATACTAGAGGAAATTTATGTAAACTCAAGAAGTCTCTCTATGGACTAAAACAGTCACCTCGGGCTTGGTTTGAAAAATTTACAGTTGTGTCGAAACAAGATGGCTATACTCAATGTCAATCCGACCATACCCTATTCATCGAGCATTTCTCACAAAGTAAGATCATTGTATTAATAGTACATAGGTTGACAATATAGTTCTCACAGGAAATGTTTCTGAGGAAATTATTCGACTGAAGCAACTTCTCTCAAAGAAATTTGAGATCAAAGACTTGGGACACCTAAGGTATTTCCTAGGAATGGAAGTCTCATGATCTAGTAAAGGGATTTCTGTTACTCAAAGAAAGTACACTCTAGATCTTCTAAGAGAAACTGGGATGAGTGGCTGCAAATCAACAGATACACCACACCTATGGATGCAAAATCAAAACTTGGAGTTCATCTCGAAGATGAACCAGTTGATTGAGGCAAATATCAACGTCTAGTGTGGTAAGTCAATTCTTGAACAAACCTTCAAAGGAACATATGGAAGCTCTGTATAGAATATTGAGATCTCTGAAGCACGATCCTGGAAAGGGACTCATGTTAAGGAAGACCACAAATCGAGCTCTTGAAATCTACACTGATGTAGATTGGGCCCGATCTTCAATTGACCGGAAGTCAGCATCAGGATATTGTTCCGATGTATGGGGGAACTTAGTAACCTAGCGCAATAAGAAACAACAGGTTGTAGCCCGAAGAAGTGCTAAAGCTGAGTTTCGATCATTAGCCGATGGGATTTTGTTAAAATGCCTTCTCACTGAGCTTAAGATCAAAACCGAAGGTACTATAGAGGTACTAATGTGACAATCAATCCGCCATAGCCATCGCAAGAAATCCAATACATCATAACCGGATTAAACACGTTGAAATAGACCGTCATTTCATCAGTGAGAAGATTGAGGCATAGACAATTAATCTAAGATATGAGTCTTCCCAACAACAAGCAGTTGATATACTAACTAAGACATTACATAGAAGAAGCCTTAGTAGATTGATTTCGAAACTTCAAATGACGAGCATATATCATCCAGCTTGAGGGGAGCGTAGAAAGTCAAGCCAAAATTTAAGAGAAATCACTTCAAATTTATTTTCTTGTATACTATGTAATTTAGATTTACCTTGTAGATCTAGATTGATACCTTAATTTAGTCTTTTGATTGAAGGTACTCTTGTATATATTTCATCATATTGTATTGAGAATAATAAGAAAAGTTCTTCTCTCAAAAAACTTCAATATATATAGTGTTATGGTGTTTGGATATATGTTTTAGTTCCTAATCTTTGCGTGTTTTTCAATTTAGTTTTCAGTGTCTAAAAAGTTCCACACTTTTTAATTATACTCTTTTTGTGGGTGAATGTAGTAAAATTGACTAATGCTAAGTTCACATGTCATATTACTTAGTTAATTGCAGAAATTTAGAGCAAAAATCATGCCACCTAAGAAGAAAAGAGTCAAAATTTCTACCTATGAATTTGAAACTTTCCTTTATTTTAAGTTGCTTAATTCCACTCCTAAAATTTTACCGGCTCCCTGAATATTTTGTCATGTAAGCTTATTTATAAGTCAATTTTTAATAATCAATACAGACGAAAACATAAAAAACTAAATTAAAACTTTTTAGAACAAACACGAGACGATTGAAAAACCACCTCGACACCAAGGATTAAAACATTTATTTAGCGGAGTATTATTTGCCTTATAAGTTGAAGCATTATTATTATATATAAATGTGTGTATGTGTAGAGATTGTATCGAAGTTAGAGAGGTGACAAAGTAGGGTGGAGGTAAGAGCATCCTCCATACCCTTCTTCTCCAAGTACAATCCTTTCCATTTCTTGCATGTCATCATACCCATTTGTTGCCTGCAAAATTTTCTCAACCATAAGTTGAGAACTTATTCTTAAAAAACAATTCTTAACAAACACAAAAAAAAAAGAAAAAATAAATAAGAATAATTGAGAATAATGTGAGAGCCATGAACATATAATTAAGTTGAGAAAGTCCATACCTGCATTATCTCAATTCCATCAGTTTCAGTGGTGTTGTTGAAATCATAGTAGCGACTTGCAGTTGAAAGCTTCATGGAGAGGAACTTGAAACACCAACAAGATACATGTATAGCTAGGGTTAATATTATCGGGCATGTTTTGAGAGTGATTTTAGCCTAGCTAGAATCACTTACACTTATGTCAAAATCACTCCTATTTGAAAATAGAATGTTTGACAATAATTATGGAGTGATTTTGAAAAAATTTAAAATCACTATTCAGTCAATCACTTGGAAGGTGATTTTTCCAAGTGATTTTTTATCAAAAAATTAATAGGAAATTAATTTTTAAAATGGTTATTATTTTAAATTTCAAATTTATCTTTCTATTTCACCTTAAATTTTGAGGGATTTTTTTTTTTTCATTTATAAAGTTTTTTTCACTCTGACATTATTTAACTTTAATTTTGTTTATTATTTCTCTAAAGTTTTTTTGTAATATCTCCTCTCTGTAGTTCTCAGTCTCTTTTCTAATTTTATTTCAAACAGATCCTCAATATTCACACGGGGTTCTATCTCAAAATTAATTGACAATGAGATGAGTAACTTACTTATATTATAAACGCTTGTTAAGTCTCTTATTTTTTCAACGTGGGATCCTTAACTAACAAATATGTTGTAATGATTTTATAGATATATAGCTGGTTTTAAGCAACAAAATCCAAAAGCTTAAGTGGGTTGGTTAGGATAAATTTGAGGTTCAATTACTATTCTGATCTGTGTACTATAAGCTTTTGTTTATTAGTACTTGTACTTTCAAAACGTCCATTTTGATCCCCATAGTTTCAAAAGGTTTATTTTGATCATTGTACTCCTAAAAAAGTGACCATTTTGGCAATTTTATTATTTTTTTATCTATGTTTTTGGATCACAATTTCAACACAATATTGTACTCAATAAGTTTCTTCAAATGTAGGTATAGCTTTGTATGAAAGGATTTCATTCTGATAGGATTTCATTGTAATAGGAATTAAAATGATCAACTTTCAAAAGTACAGGGACAAAAACGGATGTTTTAGAAGTATAGAGACTAAAATGACAAAAGTTAAAGTTACTATTTATTAAAGATCCCACATTTAAAAGAAAATAAATCTTACAAAGGTTTATAATAGACATGATCTACATTTTTCGTTGTCAATTGATTTCAAGATGGAACTATATGAATATTAATAAGAACCAAAATGAACAATTCGAACTTACAACCTCTTTATCAATTACCTTTGAGCTATATATGCTCGCTTTGGCCTCAACCATTATTATTTTGATTAACGGACCATATCATGTTATATAATCACCACTAAACCTAATCCTTAGGTTGATAGGTTAGATTGATAAATTTCATCATTTAATATATTTTAAATACAAACTTTTTGGTTTTCGAAATAATACCATATTAAATCACACCACTTAATCAACCTAATACTTTTAATGTGTTATAGCTAGGTTTGATAAAATTAATCATTTAATATATTTTCCAACCTACTCCTCATATATTAGTCTCAAAAGCATTTAATATGATTCATGATCTCGGTATTAACATGCATACTATTAATATGAAACGGAAAATTCAGGTATAAAATTAGCCGAACTTCAAACTTACGACTTTTTAATATTATGCTAAAATTCTTGAGTTTTATGCATATAGAATTACTTACCTCGATCTGATTCTCCAAAGATTGGATGTAGTTTATTATCACATCCAACATTACTGCCATTCCCATTGTCTGAACAATTCAAAAACAAAATTCTTAATATTTTCTCTTACACTAAGTGAAAAGAAATTAGATATATTTTTTTTTATTTAGATTCTCTTGTGGTTGAGAGATTACCTTGTAGCATCCTGGAACCAAGTCTTGTAAGAATCTCAACCTCTGATTTATTTTCTCTCTTCTGACCTGTAACCAATTGGCAATGGTAACAACATAATTTTCTCTCTTGTGAGTGTAAACACATTTCAATTAATTATAATAATAAATGAATTAAATATTTGTTTAAATCCTCCTAACTTTTAGGTTTCTTTCATTTTAGTTACCGACTATTTCAATCCTTAAATTTGAATAAAGTAATCATTTTAGTCATTTGTTACATTATTTTGCAACCTAATAAGTCAACTTCCCAATAATCATCTCCGATGTTATATGTTCACATTAACAATGTTAGTATTCATACTCGAAACTACACTATTAATTTGTTAACAGAAAAATAATACCAAAGACTAAAATAGTTTTTTTTAAATAGACTAAATTAAACATTTTAAAAATTGAGAGATGAAAATAAACTTATCAACAGACAGACCAAAATCATTATCTTGAAAGTCAAGACTTAAACCTTGAGTATATAACTTTACAAATAACTGAATTTATATATATATATATAATCTTTCAAATTCTAAAACTGTAGGAGAGGGAAAGTTCAATCTTTAATATATATATTTTTTCCTTAAGAAAAGAAGTACCATTTTGTTCTAATAAAAGTTCAAAATCCACCTTTATTCAATAAGTTTCAAAACCTGACTATTTTGCCCCCAAAAAAATCTATTTTGGTGAGCAAAGAAATTTAATTGGAAGCTAACCCTTTCTGCTAAACTGTGACTGTCAGTAGCTTGGCCTCTTTTTGCTCTCACATGGATGACTTCTCTTTGCTTCTCTTCATCCCTTTCACTTTCTCTTTTCCTCTTTGTTCCTCCCAAGCTCTGCCAAATCAAAAGCATAATTTAATTTCCCAAAATGACATAATAAAAGTCTGTTTAATAACTATTTTCTTTCTAGTTTTTTGATTTTGAAAACTTACAAACTTATAAATATTATTCAAAGCATATATGTATTTTTTTGTTTTGTTAAAAATTTTTCAAAATCAAATTCAAATTTTGAAAAACTAAAAAAATGGTGATTTTTAAGAGCTTATTTTTGTTGGGAAGGAAACATAATTTTTAAAAATAGAAAACTAAAAACGAAATAACTATGGGTCACAAAACTAACTTGGGCTGTTTTTTACCTTGGAATCTTGTGTGTTAACTGGAGGAAATGAAGAATTATTTGCACATCTTGAGGAGCAAAGAGCATGTGGAACAGAGCTTGGGATTTCATTAAAATGGCAAAATCCCTCAGTGAAAAAAGGATTAATGGAGATTGTTCCTTGGTGATCACTTCCATTGGAGCTCTCCGCTGTAAAAGATTTGCTTAACATCTCTGAATTGAAGCTCATGTCTCCAAGATGCTTTTCGAAGGGTTTGTATTTGTAGACCAAATCAAGTACTGCAAGAAGCCGCCATTGGAGAGACCTTCCAAAGAACTCAAAGCACAAAGGCTGATGTGTTTTTGGAAATGTACTGTTCTTTCTTGTGTTCTGGTTAATTTGTAGAGATAGAAATGGACGGCTTTGATTGAAGTATGGTCCATAATGTTGATGATACATTGATGAAGTAATAATGGAGCCTTCTTGGAAATGAAATGATGAACGAGATATCGGTTACCGAACATAGTTTTGTTTCTCGAGTCTTGTGCTTTCATGCTAAAAGAAGAAGGGTGCATAAATTAGGGCTATGTTCATACACTTGATTGAGAAAGATTTTAAAGACGTCCTTATTGATATATAAGGTACTTTGGATTAAATATATCTTAAGTTGACAAGTTAGAGTAAATTTAATAATTTATAGGATATTTAACACCTTCTCTCACTTTTGGAGACAAACATAGAACTTGTGCTCTGATACCATATCTTAAATATGATTAAATCATCAATAAAAACTTAAGCATAAACTTGTAGGATTAGAGTATATTTAATCATTTATAAGATATTTAATGTATAGGCTAAAATAAACTTGAGGTAAAGTTAGAGTTTAAAATGGATTATAATCATATACTACGATTTGAAATATGAAAGAGAATTTATAGTTGTCCTCTAAATTTAATAATAGATTAATAGGTATGAAACTTTTTGAATGGAAAGCAAAAATAAGATATGAAAAGATTTAATTACACTTAAATAAAATGGTGTGAGTGCCAAAGCGAGCATAGTTCATCGGTAATTGACATATACCTCCAACTAAAAGGTTTTGTGAGTTCGATCTTCCACCTTCACATGTTGTATTAAAAAAGTTAAAAAGAAGAAAAAAAGACGGACCTTAATGTTAATTAATCGTTTATTATAAATCAATGATTTGTCATATGCTATTGAATATTGAAACAATATATTGTAATGAAAAGAAAAACACAATAGATGGTAAGCATGAGAGAAATTAGATAATGAAGGAAAAATTTATATATATTATTTGAAACGAAAATTGTTATAATTTTTTTTTTATAACTCGGTGTCGCGTGGCTTCTCCAGTTGGATCTGTATAACCGAGGGATGTTGATGGTCACCCAACACTGTAATTGACACATTGAAGGATTCGTTCCCGAATGAGGGGGAAGCCCCGACTACACACCCTACAGGGCTCAAACCGGAGAGGGGTATCTCCATTCTGCCACAAATCCACTACACCTCACCTTTCAATGGAAAACCAAAATTGTTATAAGTATTTATGGACATGAATTTAACCAAATAGCCCATGTTGGCTTCCCTCACTAATTATAGTTTATAGAGCATAACTAACTGATTAACTCATATTCTCTTCCATTGGTAGAGGTTGTAGGAGGTAATATAAAGTTCTTATATCATTAATTTTAAAATATAACTTGTCCCTTCGTTCATTTTTCATCTCAAAGACATCTAATCCTTTCAAACTTCTACTCTCAACTTCTAGCTAGCTTCATGGGGGAAAGAAATCCATCTTCCCTTTTGTAGGAATCTTACAAGTTACAATCCTATACTTTTGTTTACAATGTTTCAATTGTACCCACTTTTGGAACTTTAGTAGCAAACCCATTTTTCAAAATAACAATAATATAAATAATAGTTAAATAAAAAAAAATTACCCTTTTTCAATCCTAAGTAAGAATTTAGATTAGAAATAATTTTAAAAACTATCAAAAAGGATGAAACAAGTGTGCATGGGGTTGCTAGAATCTTGCATAGGAGTATGTTGGAAAACATAGACTAGAAGGCATATAATTAATACAATCCCATATCAATGAGGAAAAACATCCAACATCATGGACCTTCAATTTTTTTGCCTTCAATTAATTACTCATGCCTAATTTTTGGATGTGGTTGAGAAATGTTTGTGCCAAAGTTCTGTTTGAAAAAATTTTTTTATGACTTTTTTTTTTTTTACTAAAGCGAAAATTCAATGAAAACATGGTATGTATATATAATTAAGTTCTTTCAAAGAATATTATAATGTGTAACATATTTGCCTTTTTTTTTAATGTATAAAAATATATGTTCATAACTTCAATGCTAACCTTCTTTTGAGAGAAATGGACCCATGTTAGATTGTTGTTTATTGTCTATAGCCTCAAGGTTTTAAACAAACCCATTTAGATAGAAATATCAAGATGTGAATTTAATAAAAATATCGATGGAAATATTAATAAAATGTCGATGAATACCTTCAAAATTAATAATAATAATAGTAATAATAATAATAATAATAATAATAAATTTCTTAAAATATAATTAAATTAACAAATAAGAATTCCACCATTTTAAAACAAGTTAATTTTTTTAAAAAATTTATTAACATCATGTCTACATGGATTTTTGTTTTAAATCATGTTTTTTTAAAAGAAAATGACACAAATAATGTAGGTTTGAAAGTAGGCAAAATAAATTTTTGGTCCTTGAGGTCTGAGGTAGGTGTCTACTCGGTCCATGCAGTTTCAAAATGAACATTTTTTGTCCCTTAACTTTGACGAAGGTGTCTACTTGGTCTCTGAAGTTTCAAAATGAACATGTTTGGTCCTTGAGGTTTAAAATAGGTGTCAACTGGTCCTTGAAGTTTTAAAATGAAAATTTTTGATCCTTTGAAGTTTGAGAAATAGTTGTAAATGATCCTTTGTTTTTTTTTACTGTTAATTAACTAATATTAAAATGACCTGACAAATTGTCATTAAATTGTTTATTGTAGTTCTTGACGTGACAAATTAAATTAATTAAATAATATATATATGTAGGTGATGATAATTTCTCTCTCCTCTCCTCATCTCTTCCTCTCTTTTTCTGCTGCCCTATTCCGATGACCACCACATCTTTGCCGCCGTCCGCGATTCATATCGCACATATATCATTTAATTAATATAATTTGCCACATCAGCAACTACAATAAATAATTTAATTGCAATTTGCACTTAATTTTAATATTAGTTAATTAACAGTTAAAAAAAAATCATAGACCATTTAGAACTATTTCTCAAACTTCAGGGATCAAAAATGTTCATTTTAAAACTTCAAGAACCAATTTGACATCTACTTTAAACCTCAAGGACCAAAAGTGTTCATTTTGAAACTTCATGGACCAATTAGACACCTACCTCAAACCTCAAGGACCAAAAGTGTTCATTTTAAAACTTAAGGGACCAAGTAGAAATACTACAAGAAATATGGGCTTCAATGACAGTTTAAAACTGTCATTAACATAATTCGTGACAGTTATATAACTGTAATGGATTAAGGCATCAAGGAAAAGGAAAACGTGACAGTTATTGAAAACTGTCGTTAATACAATTACAATGATAATTATAAGTTGTCATGAATTAATCATCCACCACAATTTTAAAATGTCACAAATTACTCATGAGATAATATCTTGGGAGGGCTATTTTTAAATCTTAATTTCATAAATGTCTTTCGTTTTCAAAATTTACACTTTTAGATATTTTCATGTAGAATTTTATGTTAATACCGTTTCTACCTTATTTATTTCTTTTTATTTTATTATAATTTTTAAATTTAAAAAATTTGAATCCTTAATTTGTAATTATATTCATTTAATTATTGTGGGTCCCATTCAATTTTTCAACCTAAATTCCTCAAATCTCTCTTTCAAAAAATATTTTTTTCCTCTCGCCAATTAACAACTTCCAAATTTGTGAAATCATGTTTTGAATATTTCAGGTCATTTGCTGCCGTCTCCAACCTCCATTTTTTATTCCCCGTCGTCTTCCTTTCAGACGTCCAGACCTTCATCAACGAGGACAAGAGACGTCGTTTGTGTACTTCTTCAGGGCTTTCATCAACGAGGTATTTTTTCCTTCTTCCCCAGAGACGTCCAAATCTTCTTTTTTCCGTTGTCGAATAGACTTTCCGTCGACGTCTTTGCACGTTTCTGACGCCGTGCAGCGTGCTTCTGTCAACGAGGTATTGATTCCTTCTTCCCCAGAGACGTTCAGACCTTCAATTTCCGTCGCCGAATAAAGTTTATGTCGACGTCTTTGCACGTTTCTGACGCCGTGCAGTGTGTTCCTCATCTCCTGTACCCTTCTGTTTATACCAATCGTAAGTTAATAGTCTTCCCGTTAAGATTGGTATATATGGGGATATATTTTATTTATGTGTATAGAGAATTGAAGTTCTAAACGTCTCATAGTCTTAGTCTTCCCATTTATATTTGTATATATGGGGATATAATGTATACGTGTATATATATATATCTTATATGTGTATATATCTTATAGTTATATATACATAAGATATGATACTAATCTTTTGCTGGTCTCAAATATATATTATGGGGATATATTGTATATGTGTATATATCTTATACGTGTATATATCTTATACGTGTATATATCTTATAGTCATATATACATAAGATATGAAACATAAGTTTCACTAAGATTGGTATCATATCTTATGTACTAATAACTATAAAATATATACACATATATACAAAATCGAACGAGAAGACTGTTACCTTATTATTGGTGTAAACGGAAAGGGGATTGTAGACGAGGAACCCACTGCTCGACATCGGAAAAGAGAAAAAAAAAGAATATGTCGCCTAAAATGTTGTTCGCCGACGGAAAATGAAGGTCTGAAATGTACGAAGACGGAAAATAGGATATAACTAAAGCAGATGTACAATGACGGAAAATGAGACGGGGAACGTACAAAGACGGCTGCTGGAAACGAAAATTGAAGCAGACGAAAGGAAACTTATCGATACGGCGGCGTCAGACCGGAACAGTCACGACGGCATTAGACGACGGGCGACAAACGGGTACAGAACTCAGAGACGACAGCAGACGGAGGAAGCGAAAAAGTCTCCGATTTAGAATTTGGGGATTTTTAGACGGGATTTGGGGGATATTTTGGGAGGTTTTCAAATTTTGGGAATTTAGGATTGGTTTTAATTTGTTTTGGAAAGTATCATTATGCTAAAATTATGGGATCCAAATTATAACCTTCCAATTAATCAATTTTGCATTTTAAAATGAATTTAAAGTTAATTTGTAGATACAAGAGGATAT